GAAAGGGGCACCTTTTCCTGGTTTGTTGAGACGCTGGCCAGGCGGGCAGCTAGGCTATAGCCCCTCCCTGATGGGTGGACCCCCCTGCGTCTTCAGGGTTCCCCCAGGAGTGTTTGGAATAAGGAGTGAATTATAGAGATTAGACTTTTGTACCACGTGGAAGGAGATGGGGAAGTAAAAGTCCCAGAGGAACCTCGCCAGACGCTCTGAGGCCCAGCAACACGCCCAGGCCAGCAGGGACACCTCCCCGCTGGTGACCGGGGTGCAGGACCCGTCGGGGACCTGAACGCGCTGGCCTGGGGTCACCACTGGTCAGCGGGGTGGCCCCAGCGGCCACCCTGCTCTGCCCCCCCGCGTACCCCCCCGCAGACCATGGCTGCCGCTTCGCCCCCCAGACCAGGAGGGGTCGTGGGAGGAGGCAAGGCGGGCGGGGTTGGCGGTGACCGCGGGCTCCGGGGCGCGTGTGACCTCGCTTGGCCTCCCCTCAGATCTTGAACCCGCCGCCTTCCCCCGCCACGGACCCCTCCCTGTACAACGTGGACGTGTTCTACTCTTCCAACATTCCCGCCGCCGCCAGGCCGTACAGGTACGGAGCTCCCCGCGGTCCCGCGCCTGGCCCCCTTTCCCGGGAGAGACAGCAGGGAGGGGTCGGCGCAGCGCGCTGAGGTCAGAAAGCACCCGGAACCCGCGGGTGGGAGCCCTAGGGGTCTTTGGAAGCCACCGGGGGTCCCCACCGCGGCTGGCCGGGTCCCCGAGGGCTCTGCGCTCAGACAGTGCTCGAATCCGGCTCCGGGACCGCGGAGGGGCAGCTACCCCGCGCTGCCTACCCCAGCAAGGAGCGGGCGAGGCCGGCCTTCGACGGGGCGATCCTTCCTCCTTCCTCCCGGCGCAGGCCTGCTACAGGGGACGTCGGGTCCGGCCCCGCTGTCCAGGGGCGGGTCCGAGCCAGGCTGGGCAAGCTGAACCTGCTGAGCTTCAACCACCCGGTGGTCTCAGCCCACAGGGCCCACCCCGCCCCGGGCGGGCTACCTGATGGAGCACGTGGAGGCTGGGCCCCGCTAGGCTGGCCCCCCGCCCGCGTGTAGAGAGCCGGGATCTGGGGGCGCTGGGGGAGGCGCTTCGTGGTCCTGGCGCCGCCCTCCCTCCGGTGGCCGTCTGGGGGACTCCCGGGCCTGGAAGGGGAGCCCACCGATACGGGAGGCACAGCTCTTGACCGGGTGGTCACTGCTCTGGTCAGGAACCTGCTGTGGCTCCAGCGCCTCAGCGTCACAGCCTGTCCCCAGGGGTCACGTCCACTCCGGCAGGCGAGCCCCCTCAGCCTCCAGTCTGCTTTGCTCGCCTGTCCTCATTCTGGTCCTGCCTCCAGTACCTTTCCCCTCCGCGCTGTCTGTGGGGCTCCTGCTTGCTCCCAGGGCCCCACATGGGGTGTCCTCCTGCTGCACCTTCCTCAGCGACGGGCCCTTTGGAGCCGGCTCCCCCTTCCTGCCCACTGTGAGCCCCACCTCGGGCCCAGGCCACAGGGCGATGGTCACAGGGGTCATCAGGAGACATCTCCGGGATCAAGACGGGACTGGCTGGTCTCCACTGTTTACAGCAATGATACAAATGGGCATAGCCGTCGAGCACTTTCTGGTGTCGGGCACTGTTTCTAGCACGTTCCATGCAGAATCTCACTTTAATCCTCACAAGCCGCTTTTGAAACGGATACCGTTTCATGCTTCCCATTTTATTAAGGAGAAAAGGAAGCTCAGAGAGGTTAAGTAAGTTTAGCCCCAAGTGGGCTCTGGGGGCCTCGTTCTCCATAAAGGTGACCTTGGCCCGGGACTGCAGTCCTTGCCAGGGCCTGGAGTTGGCAGCCTGCAAGGTAAGTGCAGGCGCGCCCACCTTAGAGGTGGTACCGTGGAGGCTTAGAGGGGCCCAGGGACCGATGGACGTGCAGGCGGGCCACTCTGAACGCAGACTCCCTTTGCCTGTATCCCCTCCAGGCCCTACATCATCCGCGGCGTGGCGCCCCCGACCACGCCCTGCAGCACGGACGTGTGCGACAGTGATTACAGTGCCAGCCGCTGGAAGGCCAGCAAATACTACCTGGATCTGAACTCAGACTCAGACCCCTACCCGCCTCCGCCCACACCCCACAGCCAGTACCTGTCGGCGGAGGACAGCTGCCCGCCGTCGCCCGCCACGGAGAGAAGCTACTTCCACCTCTTCCCGCCCCCGCCGTCCCCCTGCACGGACTCCTCCTGACCTTGGCCGGGCCACCCCGGCCGGCCTCTCAGCACCCCTGTACATAGTTTTAAATATGAACAAAGAAAAAATATATTTTATGATTTAAAAAAAATAAATATAGTTGGGATTTTAAAAACAGGAGAAATGTGAACAGTGATGGGGTGGGCAGGACAGGGAAAAACTTTGTACAATGGAGAAAATATTTATAAACCTAATTTTTTAAAACATCATTGCCATTCTTTCATGCCACGTGTGTGCGGGAGCTGCGTATCTCCGAGGAGTGAACGACCCACCCTGGGCAGCTGTCGGAGTCCTGCCCTTATCCTCCTGGGCTTCTGGGTGCGGGCATCTCATCTTCAGGCTTCCCCGCGGAGGAGCGAGACCTCTGGGAAGAGGCCTGCGGGTGGGTCAGCTTTGTGGATGGCTGACTCGTGCACAACTTGATGTTTGACTTTATGCTCTGCGATTGCTGTCCTGAAATTCTAGATAATTTGGAAGACTGAGGCCCTGCATTTTCATTTGGCCTTGGGCTCTGCAGGTTATATACCTGGACTTTGGGCTATTCCCGGGCTGGTCCCTCCTACTGTCTGACCTGTGTGTGCTAGCTCAGGGCTGCTACTGCCCATCAAGACACACCCACCCCACCTGGTTGTCCAGTGGTTAGGACTCAGCGCTTTTACTGCCCAAGGCCTTGGTCCAATCCTGGTTGGGAAACTGAGATCCTGCAAGCTGCACGGTGTGGCCAAAAAAAACACACAAAAAACCAGTGCTGGGGATCCTGCCATCTGTGTTGACCTAGTGGATGGTGCTGCCAAGCCACACTTGCCCCGGGTAGGGGAGGGAGACCCCAGCCCTCCTGCTCTCCCTGGCCCCCTGCATGCCCATCTCTGCGGACAGGCTGTGGACAGCCCAGCTCTCACCGAGACGGTCCATACACGCTCCCTAAGGCCTGGCCTGTGCCCACCTGGGTGGTACTGGAGGAGACATGGGTCAGCCTGGTCCCTGCCCTGGGGCCTCCAGGCTGCAAGAGTCGTGTGTTGTGGGCAGGCTAGGCTGTTCTGGGGCCAGGTAGGAAGAATCACCTTTGCAGGGTTGGGAGGAAGGAAAAGGCAACAGCCAGGAAGGGCCTGACCCTCGGGGAGGTGGGTGGGAGGTTGGGGGAATCGGAGCGGTGCTGGTGCGCCCTCCACTGGAGTCTCAATGCACAGACCCGGAAAAAGACTGCATTCCTGATCCCCAAGGCCTGGAGACGGGTGACAGCCGACAGGAGGGAGTCTGGTGGGGTGAGGATGGCGTGGCCGTGAGGGCTCCAACTGTGGGCCCAGGGGTCAGAGCTGGGACGGGCCTGGCTTCTTGGGACCGATCTTTTTTTTAAATGTTTGGCTCTGCTGGGTCTTTGTTGCTTCGAGGGCTTTTCTCTCGTTGCAGGGAGGGGGCCACTCTCCAATCGCAATGCGCAGGCTTATTGCCCTGGCTTCTCTTGTGGAGCACAGGCTCCAGAGCATAGGCTCAGTAGTTGTGGCACACGGGCTTAATTGCTCTGCAGTGTGTGGGATCTTCCCGGACTGGGGATCGAACCCGTGTCTCCAGCATTGGCAGCTGGATTCTTTACCACTGAGCCACCAGGGAAGCCCTGGGACAGACTTTTGAGGAGCCTCCCTTGAGCCCTGATTGCCTGTGAGTCGCCCGAGGTCAAGGCCCAGCCTTGACGGTGGTAGACACAGATGGGCTTGCTGATGCCGCCGCTGCTGCGACCTCGAGAACAGATGCTGGGGATGGGGTGACTGGCCGTTGGTGCACACGAACTGTTAGAGTGGGCAACCCCGTCCTGAGTGCTGATTGGGGGTGGGGTCCACGCTCAAGGCCCCTTTGAAATTTATTTTTACTTACAGGAAATGGCAACCCACTCCAGTATTCCTGCCTGGAGAATCCCATGGACAAAGAAGCCTGGGGGGCTACAGTTCATGGGGTTGCAAAGAGTCAGGCTTGACTGAAGCGACTTAACATGCATGCATTTATTTGACTGTGCTGGGTCTTAGGTGTAGCACGTGGGATCAGTTCAATCGTTCCCTGATCAGGGATTGAACCCAGGCTCCCCACATTGGGAGTGTGGCATCTTAGCCACTGGACCAGCGGGAAAGCCCCAAGGCTGCTTTGCAGACCACAGGGGTCGGATCTGCTTCTGCCGGAAAAGCTTCGTCTCTTATCCACTCCATCCAGCTGCTCTGTCTGTCAAGGAAGGGTGCAGTCGCCTGCCCCCTGGGACTAGAGTAAGGCTTCTGTGAGATAAGCCTCGCCCAGTCGGGGCCTGGCAAGCGGCAGGTCCTCAGTAATCAGCGAGGTGACATACTCGCTCAAGATCGCAGCACTAAGGACCAGCAGGACGAGGGTGCACCTCACTCCCAGGCCCAAGTCGGGATCTCTTGCCCACAGAGCTGCCTGCGGAGGCTCAGGACTCACACTTGGCCCCGCACCCTGCGGCGCTCAATAAAGCTCCTGTCTCCGTGCAGGCAGGGCTTCCCAGGTGGCGCTAGTGGTCAAGAAACTGCCTGCCAGTGCAGGAGACTTAACAGATGTGTGTTTGTTCCCTGGGTCGGGAAGATCCCCTGGAGGAGGGCATGGCAACCCACTCCAGTGTTCTTGCCTGGAGAACCCCAGGGATGGGAGCCTGGAGGGCTGCCGTCTCTGGGGTCGCACAGAGTCGGACACGTCTGAAGTGACTTAGCATGGCAGTGCAGGCGGCCAGTGCGGGAGGGGGGAGCGGCTGCATCATGGGGGAGAGCCCCCTCTCCTGCCCTCCCTCTCCCCTGGGCAGCCAGGGATCTGGCGGCAGGGTCGGGGTGGTGGGAGTGGCTGGGCTGTGCGCACTGACAGAAGGGTCGAACCACCCTCTGAGGTCCTCCCCTCCCTTGCCTGCAGGCCCCTGGATAGAGCCTTGGCGTGGCCTGCGGTGCCCAAGGGTGCATGCCACTGGACCCGCTCCTGCCATGCAAGGTCAGCTGGTGGAGTGGGGCCAACCCACTGGCCTCCCACACGTGCCAAGTAAACCTGTCAGCCTTCATTCAGCACCTACTGTGTGCAGAGCTCTGCCTGTCAGTCCCATGCTAGAGGACCCAAACAGTAGCCAGATGGGACTCTTCCCTTAAAGGTGCTCAAAATTAGTAACAGAGGCAGCTTCCTAAGTTGTGGGAAGCATAATTTTGAGATATCCTGGGGCCTATATGCAGGAAGGCACGGAGGGCTTCCTGGAGGAGGTGATATCTAATCTGCGTCTTCAGCAAGAGGGTGAGGTTAATTGGCTTATTTCATTTAAACTTCACGACAACCCAGCGAGGTAAATGGTATCCCCAACTTGTGGTTGAGGAAACCAAAGTTTGGGGAAAAAGAAGTAAAGACAGAATTTTTTTCATTCATTTCTTGAACTCTTCCTTTATCTAGCAAAGGTTACCAACTGGTTCCTGGGTGCTGCTCCGTGTGGCCAGAAAAGCGTCCACCTTCCCTTTAAACCCTCTCCCTCTGCACTGTCACCCACTACTTCGCAAGGCTCTGTCATCCCTTTCGGAGCCCTGTGGGGTCTCCCTCAGGTAATGGGCTCCGTCCCCACAGACCCTATCAGAGGGGATCCATTTGTTCAACTCAGCCTGCCTCCAACCCCGGGACGGGTGTGGGAGCTCTTCCCTGTCTGGGGTCCAGCGCGCCCTTGGGTCTACAGCTGCCCTGGGCAGTTGAACAAAAGCCACGTGCCCAGATCTTGGGCATGTCCACTGTCAGGCCACACGCTGGAGAACCAGGATGTGGGCAGCAGAGGGGGCTCTGTCCCTGGGAAGCCTGGGTGGTTGCTAAGTTGGGTGGGCTTGGATCCCACTTGGCCCCTGCAGTGTTCCTTCTCTGGTGCCTCCAGCACTGGGACCCCCTTGAACCGTACTCTCCGATAATGCAGCTGGGGTCCCACCAAGGAATCCCCATGCTGTCTCCTCTCCCAGATTTCCACTTCTCGGCCTCTCCTTCTTCACTCAAAGACCGTCTTTTTTCTTTCCCAGCAAGTTCAATCGTGACCCTCATTATTAGCAATCCTAGTGGTTCTCCTTCCTACCAAGCCCTTTAATGGGGAAAAGAAAAAAGAAACAAGTTAAATTTCCATGTGAAAGTGGGCCGACCTTCACATCCCGCTAGAGTTCCCTATTTGCCCCCTTTTCTCCAGCCTCAACATGTCTTAGCCTGACCACCCAGCAAACCCCCAGCACTGGCTCGGGCCCTCCCAGGGCATGTCCTCTGCCAGGGCAGCCCCATTCCACCCCTCGGATCAGGACTGAGCCCTGGTGACATAACAGAAGGAAAGACAATGTGGATCTTTGTTCTTAAGGCAAGCTCATTCCATTTCAAGCCTTTTCTTTATCTTGAGCTGGTCTTTTCTGAGTGTATTAAAATGCACTTTCTTTTATTTATTTATTTTTCAGTTGCCTTGGGTCTCGGTTGCTGCACACACGCTTTCTCCAGTTGCAGTGAGCGGGGCTACTCTAGTTGTGGCGCACGGGCTTCTCACTGCAGTGGCTTCTTTAGTTGCAGCGGAGAAGGCAGTGGCACCCCACTCCAGTGCTCTTGCCTGGAAAATCCCATGGACGGAGGAGCCTGGTAGGCTTCAGTCCACCGGGTCGCTAAGAGTCGGACACGACTGAGCGACTTCACTTTCACTTTTCATTTTCATGCATTGGAGAAGGAAATGGCAACCCACTCCAGTGTTCTTGCCCTAGAGAATCCCAGGGACGCGGAGCCTGGTGGGCTGCCGTCTGCGGGGTCGCACAGAGCCGGACACGACTGACGTGACTTGGCAGCAGCAGCAGCTTCAGTGGCAGGCACATGCTCTGCAGACCCCCTGTGCAGCTCTTAGGGCACACGGGCTTCGCGAGTTGAGTACACAGGCTCAGGACTTGGGGCGCACAGGCTCAGTGGCTCCATGGCATGTGGAGTCGTCCTGGACCAGGGATCAAACCTACGTCTCCTGCACTGGCAGGCGCATTCCTATCCACTGTGCCGCCAGGGAAGTCCGAAATGTCCTTTCTTTCATAAAATCACAGTAATAGTAAATAATATTTAAAAAAATCGTTACTTGATAGAATTAAAAGCTGGCAGCTCTGTGTCTGTTCCCCAAAGTTAAGGAGTCATAGCTGGGTGATGGGCACATGTGTGTTCACTATACTTTTTTCTCTACTGTTGAGTATGTGTGAAATTTTTCATATAATTTTTTTAAAAGTCGAGATGGGTTGAAAGTTGAAATATGAAAAATCAAATTACAAAGGGATTAGGGAGAAAAAGGGGAAGGTGGTGATCTGAGACATCTAGAAGTTTTATGATGGTGAGGCCAATGCAGAACTTTGAAATCCCTGTCCTCCGTGAAGCCTGTCAATGGCTCCCCGTGGTCCTCAGAAGATAGGCTGAACTCAGATGCCTTCTCTTCCAGGAAGTTCTCCCTGACTTCAACCCTTCTAGTTAGGCTAGGAGCTCATCGTAAATGGAAATTTCGGGTGCTCACTTATGTTGGGTGAGGGACTGCATTATTTCATTTAATTATAGTGCAAATGGCTCTGTGATCCACCTGAGTCTGGGATGGAGAAGTCTGAAGCAGATACCAGCGAGTCCTTTGATGATGAATGAGTAAAGCGATTCAGGGATCAGTGGGTGGCTGGGCCAACTCCTCCACAGGAGGGCAGTCCCAGCCCTGGTTGCCCCCTCCTGCCCACACACTTAGAGGTGTCCCTCTAGGCACCAACCCCTCTCAAAAACAACACTGACCTGTGACAGAAAACCTGAATAGAGACATGCATATGCAAGAAACAGACCAGACTGAAGAGGATGAAGGCTTTGTGCTGGATTCTTTGGAAAGGAAAGGCAGGAGATAAATAGGCTTAAGACTTCCTCACCAGATAGAAAGTAACATTGGAAGAAGGAGGCGGTCCCAGGTGCAGAGAAGGGTCACACCAAGGACAATTCTCAGAGCATCTGGTCAATCAGAAAGGTCAGGAGGTCTTTTTTTTTTAGGAGGTCTTTTAAAAGTTTTTTTTTTTTTTAATTTTTGGCCACCCCAAGTGGCATGTAGGACCTTAGTTCCCTGACCAGGGATTGAACCCACTAACCCTGCATTGGAAGGTGGAGTCTTAACCACTGGACTACCAGGGAACTCTCTAAAAAGAGTTTTTAATGAAATTAACAAGTATTTACTGAGCATCTACTGAGCTGGTAAAGAATCCTCTTGCAATGTGGGCAACCTGGGTTCGATCCCTGGGTTGGGAAGATCCCCTGTAGAAGGGAACGGCTACCCACTCCAATATTCCGGCCTGGAGAATTCCATGAACTATACAGTCCATAGGGTTGCAAAGGGTCAGATATGACTGAGCAACTTTCAATTCAATTCACTGTGTGCTAAGTACTAGGTACTGGGGTGAAAAGAGAGTGAAAGTGTTAGTCACTTATCCATGTCTGTCTCTTTGCGGCTCCATGGACTGTGGCCCACCAGGCTCCTCTGTCCATGGAATTATCCCAGCAAGAAAACTGGAGTGGGCATCTATTCCCCTTTTCCAGGGGATCTTCTTAACCCAGGGATCAAGCCCATATCTCTGACGTTGCAGGCAGATCTTTTATTACCCAAGCCCCCAGGGACGCCTCTGGCACAGCAGCAAATAAAGGAAAAACTAACCTCACGAAGCTTATGCTCCAGCGGATCTAGAAACAAAGCTGCGTTTTCAGTCCTATCGCACAGTCCATCTTACACTTAATGTTATTGAAAGCACCACATTGTATAGAGAGTGCTTTTACTGTCCTGGGGTTGCCTGCAGCCTCTCCTGTGCTCCAGGGCAAGCCTCTCGGGTCTAGCACTACTCACGCTGCACTGCCTTGCTGCTGTTAATCCAAACCATCCATTCTAAAGTATGGCCAGCCCTGAATTTGCTCTCTGTTGCTCTGAAGTTTTTCCTTTGCTTATCCTCCAAAGCTGCCATGCCTCCAATGTCTCCCTCCCATTCTTTCCCCCCAGACATGCTTCTGCAGTTCCCTGCTTCTCCCCCACCCACCCAGGTTATCTGTATATAGATCCCTCTCCCTAACCCTCTGCATATCTTTTTGAACTTGTTGCAATCTTTTTTGTTGGATCTTAGTTCCCAGATTAGAGATTGAACCTGTGCCCTTGGTAGTCAAAGTGCAGAATCCTAACCACTGAACTGCCAGGGAATTCCCTGGCTTCAATCTTGAAATGAATTCTTCACTAGCTATAGCACTTTGGGCAAGGCTCCGAGCCTCTCTCAACAGTAGGATCAGGCAAGTAATATTCATCCTTGCTTGCTGCCTCTCTAGAGGCCCGATACCCTTCAGGGCATGGACACAGGCGGTGTCACCATTATCTACTATCACTGGTACTTTACAGATACGATCTGGAGATTTAGCTGTTGTTGAGTCGCTGCAGCACGCCAGGCTTTCCTGTTCTTCACCATCTGCCGGAGCTTTCTCAAACTCATGTCCATTGAGTCAGTGATGCCGTCCAACCATCTTGTCCTCTGTCGTCCCCTTCTCCTCCTGCCCTCAATCCCAGCATCAGGGTCTTCTCCAATAAGTCGGCTCTTTGCATCAGGTGGCCGAAGTACTGGAGCTTCAGCTTCAGCATCAGTCTCTTCCTGGAGACTTAGAGGGGTTAGATTACCCAGCCAAGGTGGCTCAGCCAGTATGAATGTGTAAATTCCTTCTGGGCCTCAGTTAATTAAGGGTAAAATGGGGATGATGATTCACCAGCAGTGAAGTCTTTCTGAGTCGGCTTCCAGCTGCAGGTTTGCCGAAGGTGTGAGCTGGGGGACTGGCATGTCTGCACCAGAGACCCAGCTCCCCAGGCACTATTTGTGTGTGTTGAGTCGCTTAGGTAGTGTCTGACTCCTTGCGACCCTATGGATTGTAGGTCACCAGGGTTGACCCAGGGCTCTTTTCTCCCTGCCATCTGGCACGGTGGGGGTGGGGGGGTGGTGGTGCTCAGAAAGTCTGAGTCAGGGAGGTGGAAGGCCAGCTGGGGCCAAGGCAAAGGGGTGCAGAGGGGAGCACTGGCAAGGCATCCCCGTGGCCAAGCCCTGTCACTTTGCTCAGGCCTGGACTCTGGGGGGGTAGCTGGGGGAAGCCCCACAGTAAAAGCCTGCCTCCGGTCCTTGCGCCGGAGTTATCATCCCTGACCAAGCCAGTGCCCCCAGAGACACCTGCCACAGTCTCCCTGCCCGGAGCCCTCGTTGCCAACCCGCGCCGAGCCCTGCGGCTCTGTCCTCCGTGGCCCGTGGGTGGAAATGTCACCTGCTCACCACATCGCTCTGTGGCCTCTTCACTTGTGCTGCTCAGGTGGAGTCCAACGTCCGGGACCTTCTGCTCCTGCGTACCCCGGCCGGCGGGGCACAGAGCGAGTGTTCACTAGATTTGAAGAAGCAGCTTCTGCATGAATTCTTCCGCAAGACAAAAGGAAGACCAGGAAGACCCCCCCCCCCCCCGTAATCCATCCAGTTTTCCTCCCCAGCAGAGGGGGGTGCAGAGATAGGAGGACCTAGCACACCTTGTCTTCACATCTCCTGGTTCAAACTCCACCTTTCTGGGGAAAGTGACGCCAACCGCCAACTTCCCCGTTCCTTCCCCAACTTTATAAAATTCAGCCGTGGAGAATGCGGGCATCGATCCCGCTACCTCTCACATGCTAAGCGAGCGCTCTACCACTTGAGCTAATTCCCCAGCTCTCAACGAACTTCCGCCAGGGAAACACATGGTGGCTCACGTCATCACCGGTTTCCTACAAGCCCTCCGGCCTGCCTGCCTGCCTGCGGGTCTCGCTACCCCATTGGTTCTTGTACAGCTCCCAGACCTACTGCCACGATTGGCTTGGCTCACTTTAGTTTTAAAAAGCATTGGCCATCCGATTGGTGGCCCCAGCCGTCCGTCAAGAGAAGGCCCTGCTGTTGCTATGGCGTAGTTGGGGGGAACCCAGCCAAGGTTTCCCTCGGTTTCTGATTTGTTGGCTCCAGACTCCAGGGTCCTAGAGGTTCCGGATCCGTCAAGTCCATGGGAAAAGAATGCGCCCCCTCGCCCTTGACGGACAGCGTCCGCGAGCCAATCGGAGTGGGTTCAACGGGGCCGCAGGGTGATCCAATAGGCGGCAGGGGGCGGGAGAGGAAGGCCAATGAGCGCGGAGCCGGGGGCGGGGGCAGGGCCTTGATTGGCCGCGAGGCGCTCGGAGGGAGGGCGGGGGGAACTCAAGGCCTGCTTGATACGTCCGCCATTTTGGGCGCTTCGCTGATGGTGTCGGTGAGCGCGTTTCCCGCCTGAGCGCAACTAGCGGCGAGTCGCGGGCACCTCCAGGTAATGAGGAGGGGGGGGGGGGGCGCGGCGGAGCGGGCCGCGGCGCGGGGTGCGCTGGGTGCGCGGCGCGCGGGCTGCGGCGGCGGGGACCCTCCGCCCGGCCTCGGCGGCGCGGGGAGGGAGCGTCCCGGCCCCCTCCCCTCCCCCCCGGAATTCGCCTCTCGGCCGCCGGGGAGGCGCGGCGCCCGGGCTCCCTGGCCCGTCCCCGCCCGCTCCTGTCAGCCGCCCGCTCGCCCGCTGCGGGGGCCCCCGCCGAGTCGGGCCGCGGGCCGGGCGGCGGCGAACTTTGCGCCCGGGTTGACGGTCGCGGCCTGGCGCGGCGGGCGGGTGGCCGGCCGGGCGCGCCCCTCACCCGGCCGGGCACCGCTCCGCGCCGGCCGGCCCGCCCCGAGCGAGCACCACTCGCCGCCCGCGGGCCCCGGACAAGTTCTTTGGGCGCGGGCCCCGGAGCGTGTCAAGTTGAGGCGGCGGGGGCTCGCCGGAGACTCGCGAAGAGGCCATTGTTGGACTCGGTTCTCTGGGAAACAAGTTCTGTGGGTTTCTGCTCTTTAGCCGCAGAGTCAGCGGGATACGCCGGTGCCCGGCTCGGAGTGTTTAAAACCTCCTTCCGAGTGATTTTTTTTTTAAACTCCAGGGTTGCGACTCCGGCGCAGACGTGGTCGCGAAAGCCTCCCTGGCGAAAATGCGCTAGGGTCGGGAGGGGGGGGGGCTCCTTCTCTCGGCCGCAGGTACCTCCCTCTTAAAGAAGCCCTTTCCCCGCTACCTTGGAGGGGTTTTCTGCGGTCCGGCTTGCTCTGACCACAACTTGGACTCTTGGTTGGAGGTGGACGGCATGAGTCCTTGGATGCACCTGTGTGTCTTGACGTCTCACCCTCCGAGTTCCGAGTAATCTCTGTACTTAACCCATTTTCTCTGTGGGTCGGATCGAGCTTTTCTGTTTTGCTTTTCTGGGAGGGCGCTTTGGGGTTGTTTTATCGTCACAGCACTTGTGAATGTGGCTGTTTTGTTAACGTGGAATTGACTGCGATTTTGTTCTCAAGGTCACGTTGTATGTAGGCAGCAAGTGGGAAAGAGGCTCTAGATTTCGAGCCGCTGGAAAATCCACTTAAGGGGTGGTGTTGGAGCTTCCTTTGCTGTCGAGTTAGACGGCGTGGTTTCCAAATCTTGACTTCACCACTTTCTGGCGCTGTGACCTTGGGCAAGTCCCTCAACCTCTCTGCTGCTTCTGTAATACGGGAATAACAGTGTCTGCCTCAGAATTCTGTCGGGAGGAAATGAGTTAATATGTGTAAAGCAGCTAGAAACGGTGCCTGGCATGAGGAATACGCTTAGCAATTAGTGGCTATTATTAATTTGGATTTGATTTTTAAATGTTTAGATATATTGGGAAGTCACGTGAGTGTCTAAGTCCTGGCTTTTGGTGACTGTCTTTAGAAAGCTCTGTGTTTTTAAGAGTCTTTCGGGCTGAGAGTCACCCAGGAGAGGGTGACTGAGGATTGATTACCTTTACAGACGTTTTCTGGAGTCATTAGTGGTGATGCCTCAGACTGGCTTGTTGAAGAGATGGTTAAATAAAAGCCCACCCGGAGCTCACGTCAGATTCTGTTTCTCCTGTACTTTTGAATACCACTTACTGCGTGTGATTGGCCCCCAAATCAGTAGTAACTCCAGAATTTCTTAGTGTACTCCTGGGCTTTTATTGAGGTTTGAAAAGTTACGGTGTATTGAGATATTCTTCAGCGAAGATAGTTTGGGAAATAACTGTGGTCCTGGGTGGATGCTTTCAAAGTTATTTTGCATTTCAGTTATGTTTGATCAGAGAGTCTAGAATATTTAACAGAATGCCATCCACTCATGCATCTACTCAGTCTATTGATTCCTGCCCTGTGCTCTTCTTCCTGCTGCATGAAACCAGGCTTGTCCTTCCCCTGGAATTACCTGCTTGGGACCTGGCTTGCTTTGTTGCCCTGGGAAATGTTATTTTGATAGACTCCGTCTTAAGTAGAGATGAACATCTTGCTGGTGTAACTTACTGAAGAACAGGAAGAAGATTGTTTTAGATTAGAAAACTATCTTTTGTGTAAAGTGTAACAGAAAAAACTTGCTGGTTTCAATTAACTGCCTGGCAATTTGAGAATCAGACCATAACTGGACAGAAAATGAATAGTGATGAAACTAAGGCCTGACAGGGTGAGGTTTGCTTAGTCTCTTTGAAATAAATTTTGGCACTGATGTGGTACAGAGATAATGTGCTTATTACAGATAAGACATCTTCCTTAAAACAGTATTTGTCAGGATTGGTATTTAGTTTGCTTCTTTGATAAACTTGTATCTGTGGTTTTATATTTTGAATATTTGAGAGATAGCCTGAGTATATATTCATCTAAAATTTTACACTGCTTTCTTACTGATATAGAATCGTTAAGAATGGTAGTGGCAGTGAAGTTCTTGTAACCATCTGCTCAATTAAAACTCAGCACTGAGTTTATTTACGTACAAAGCACAAGAGGCTGCGGTTGGTTCTCATAAGTCAAGATCCGAGCCCTGGTGTGGCCGAGTGGAGTTGACTGCTTTTTCTTAGGTGAGCTGAATGGAAAAAATAGACCTGATTTCTTGGCTTTAGGAAGTTTTCTTTTTTTTCCTTTCTTTAAGGGAGCCTCAGATGACTGGGTTTTTATTTACTCTAGAGCAGTAGTTCTCAACTTGAGGGGGGTGGATTTTGCCCTCAAGAATCATCTGGTGATGTCTGGAGAAATAAATTTTGCTTGTCACATTTGTGGGGTTGGGCAGTGGCTTCTAGAGGGTAGAGACCAGGGATGCAGCTGAACACCCTGTGATGCACAGGATGGCAACCTCTCCCCTCAACAGAACGTCAGCCAGCCCCAGATGGCAGTAGTGCTGAGGTTGAGAAACCCTGCTGTAGACAGATGCTGGTCTGACCTGCTTTGGGATCGTTTGGAATACTTTTCAAGACCGTGGGGGATGGACCCCACATCTGTAAATGTGTGGTGAGAGTGAGAATGTTTTTAAAAGCTCCCAAGTAATACTGATGTGCAACTAGGTTTTGGAACACTAGACCACAGATTTTAGGACCTACGTGTGGGTCAAGGAATTCTGTTATCTGTGAGCTCTGTCTGTACCTCGATCCTACTTGGACATGACTTAGTAACGGGGAAAGATGGTATACATACGTTATTTTCAGGTGCCTGAACTTAAAAAAAAATTTTTTTTAATTTTATAAAGTAATTGGGAAACTTTTTTTTTTCCTGTTGCTTCATGAGAATCCATGAACATACTGTGTTGAAACTTACCACTCTCAGATGTTCAGGGCTCTTAATGGCTATTCTAAATAGCCTTATCCTGCGGTGATTTTTGAGTTTTGTCTTTTTTTGCCCTCGTCCTGTCAGTCAGCTGTCAATTCTGTTTTTAGATGCCAGCCTCATTATTATTATTATTTTAATGAAGGCCTGTTTTCAGAGAGTTAGCCCTGGATTGATTTGCCAGATCTGCCCTTGGCAAGGCAAGAGAGAGGCAGATTGTATGCTTATCTTTTAACACGGTGACCCTTGCTTGCTCCCATAGGGGGCTTGCCTGAGCCCTGGACTCTGACCCGAGTGGGCGAGTGTTTTTGCCTCTGGGGAGATAAGTGCAGTGAAAGAGAAATTCTTTTCTCTCACATCCTTAGAATATGGACGATCCTAGTGTATTGAGTGGGAAGAATGTTACTATAAAACTACGGATTTTTGCCAACTGAATGTTAAAGTCTGGATGTATGAAAGGGAGATCCGGGAGATCTAATCCTTCGTCCTGAAGTTTGGTCCATGGCTATGTGTCGGTGAGTTCGCAGAGGCGGACACGACTGAGCGACTTTCACTGAGATGCTGAGAATGACAGGTGACCACTCCGCTGTCTGTCTGTTCTGTGTGAGTAGTCACTCAGTTGTGTCTGACCCTTTGAGACCCCGTGGACTGTAGCCCGCCAGGCTTGCCTGTCCATGGGATTCTCCAGGCAGGAATACTGGAGTAGGTTGCCATTTCCTTCTCCAGGGGATCGTCCTGACCCAGGATCGAACCCACATCTGCCTTGGGAGGCAGGTTCTTTATCAGTGAGCCACCAGTGAAGCCCCTAAACCGGAGGTTGTTTCTGTCTTGCATGTATATTTGTGTTGTCTTTAAATTGCTCATAAGAGATATCATGCAGTATCACACAAGTCTCCTCCACTCCTGGCTGCCCTAAACCCAGTGCAGTGCTGTGGCATGGAGGTGGTGGGAACAGAGCATTACCAGGTAGATAATGGGATCCTTCACAGGAAAGCCATGAATGTTGCTATCTAGTCTTCATTTATTTGATCAGCAAATATATTGAATCCTTGCTCTGTCAGGAACAGTATTAGGGGTTCACTCATGAACAGGCACTTAAGGACTTTCAGTCTTTGGGGGGAGGCAGCACCGACAAGAGACGTCCTTTGCACTGAGGCCAGATAGCTCAGCTTGTGAACTGAGTAATGTGGTGTAAGTAAGCAGAATTTTAGTGAGAGGCCCTAAAGGCTTCAGAGGAAAGAGCTTGTAATTGTTGGTTGGGTGGTTTGAGATTGCCAGAAGTCTGTTGCCAAAGAATGAAGTAGTTACACCTTTGTTTCTCATAGGTATTAAATAGTTAACTTCCACTTCCCTCCTTGGTTTGGTTTGTCTTAAACAGCAATGCTGTTATTCTTCCTGTGCTGGTAAAGCTGTTTTGTAATGACAAATAGGATTGACCTGTGTTGTCTTTTGCTCCATAGATGTTGGCTGTCACTTGATCAGACCTGAAAAGCTCACTTTCCCTACTGATCAGAGGCTTGGTGTAGATTCATGCTAAACGTCTTGATTGTCCTTGAAATCCATGGTGCTTCCAGTGGGAATGGGTTTTTTCCCCTGCTGCAGTCTGGATTGAGGTGACTGGAGATTTGTTTTTGTGGCCTTTTGACT